TTCACAGCTGTTTCTCAGGACGTTGCGTCCTTCTGTGGTCGTGCTGTGTCTCTGTTTGTGGTTATTTTACATCAGTTCAGCGACATGTTGTGTGTCTTTTTAATAGTTTACAGCTTCTAGTCGATAACTCTTGTCTTGTTGAGGTCATGTAGTTCCTCTTTATGGTGCTTTGGGTCTCCATCGTGCGTATTTTGTGCCTTTTTCTGGTTCTGTTGCGTCTCGGTGGACATTTTGTGCCTTTTTCTGGTTCTGTTGCGTCTCGGTGGACGTCCTGTGCCCGGTGTCGTTTGTGTAATCCTACCCTCTTCTGCTCGACTCTGCACTTTACTGGCCTTGAACTCGGGCTGCACTCGTATCGATTAAATGCCGACGCCGGCTCGTGTCGCTCGGCTCTGAGGACTCTCTGCTGCTGGAGCGGGTTCAGCATGAACCGGTCCAAACTTCCTGAGATTGTTTCCCTCTCCTCTTCACCTCCTCCAGGTTCTTCCTCCACTTTACAACCCAAACACAGAGCAGACGGAGGCCTGAGCAGCTTGAATGTAGGTGATGCAACAAGCATTCAGCAGCCCAACACTGTCGAGATAAACATGTCGGGAGGTTCTGGTGCCTTCGAGTTTATTCAGACACGACAGACTTTGTTCTGTTTTCTGGCATTTACATCAGAAACTCTCATTTGAATATAAATTATTAGGACATCTCTTAAGTGTGGGTAATTGCTCGTTATCACATGAGAACAGCCTCGTCTCCACGCCGTGCCTTCAGAAGACGAGTCGGAGGAGGCGTCTCTGCTGTTTATCGGACTTTACGCTCCATCAGTTTGTAACTCTGTTAGTCAGCATCCTCCAGCCTCCGTCTCCTCAGCGCGCCGGCCTCTTGTTTCTTATTTATCCTGTCCATAATCGGGCTTTACTGCAGCCCTGAAGGACGGACGTTCCTCGTTATTTACTCCGTTATCTCTTCATCCATCCACACCAAGCATCAGCTGGATTTACAGCAGCTCCAGGAGGACGTCTGCGTTGCCGGTGACAGAAACATTTGCTAATGTGAGGTCTGTCAGGATGGAAATAGAAAATCTGTCACGCACAGCCCGACAATGACAATTTTGTCTTTCATCTCTTCAACTGTGGCAGGGAGCAAAGACAAAAGTCTGTTAACTGTGAATAAAAGCAGCGAGTGACAGCGCTGGCAGGACATGAGGAGGATGAGTGATGAAAATAACCGTCAGAGCCGAGACACGAGACGAGGACGCTGACAGATTTAGATTCCTACCAGGCTCATATCACACGATCCTTTTCCAGCCGTCCATTTAGGTGCAGATGGATTTCCAATCGAATCACATGCTGTGACAGCGAGCGGCGAAGGAAAAGGCCGGAGACAGATGGCACGCGACCAGAGAGAAGAATTACGGCCGGACAGATAAAAGGCCTGCAGCGGATCTGACTGCAGGCGGGTCGGCGTTTCAACCGGACTGAGGTGTTCTTCAGCGCGCTGTCAGGGCGGACGCACACGTCTCAGACCACTGTAAACGCTCTGCACTGGAAACGAGTGGGTTTGCTTTTCAAGAATCTGATTGGTGGTGTTGCATAAACAAGCTAACAGAGCTAACAGAGCTAATGGAGCCAACAGAGCTAACAGAGCTGCAGTCTTCAGGCGGACCGATCGACTGGTTCGTCAATACGCTCCGATCGATCCCTGCTGTTACTCTCATAAGAAGAAAAGTTCTACATCAGCACCCTCCAGGATCAATACATGACGTTTGGCTGCAGGAGGAGCAGCCTACCTGCAAAAACCCCCGTGGGCGGAGCTTATGTAGGCCGAGCAACAATATGACACATAACAACCCAAATGGGACGAAAATAATTATCAAAATGGCAACAAATGGATCCAAAATGACAGAACTCCATCAAAAAAATGCCCCAAAAGGCACAAACTGAACAACGTAGCTACAAGAGGACAGTAAATGAACAACATGCGACACATAACATCTACATGGGGCAAAAAAATAACCAAAAAGAGGCAAAACTTGCCACAAAGGGATTCAAAATGACCCAAATCAGACAAGTTCTCCAAAACTGAGCAAAAGAACAACTGAATCAGATGCAAAATAGCTACAGATACAAAGAAAACGACCAAAACGAGACACAGAAGAGACATAAACTAATTAAACAGCGACTGAACGTGATCGGATGCTAATTGATTGACGCCATTTTAAAGAAGTCATTGTGTAAACTTTGCTAAAACACTGGTTTGACTTCCCCACCCTCAGACCACTGAAGGAAACATGACGTCCTGCAGCATCGTCCTCCAGCTCGACCGGCGGCTTTTAAAACTTGAGAGACTCAGAAACACAAAGTTTGCGTCTGAAGTTCAGATGCAGGAACTTCTGAAAACGACTCGTGGAACTTCTGGAGCGCGATCAGCACAAACTGTCAGACTGGAAGCAAATGAAGAGTCTCAGCGAGCGGCGGCCAGAAAACATCCTGCATCATAAACAGATGCTCTCCTCCACCCAGCACCGGCTCTGCTTCAGGTTTTACATTTGGACTGAGAACAAACGCTCAGAACCGACAAGAACTCCACAGCTTCACCGCTGAATGTGAATAATGAGGTTCATCAGGCTGCAGCTTTAGGCTGGTTCACAGGCCCGTTTGGGTCATTACATACAAAAACAAATCTAAATAAAGTTCCCCCAGAACCTCCTCAGAACCAGCTGGCTTTGTATCTGCAGAACCTTTATCTGCTGACCAGAGTTCTACCTTCAGACTGTGAACGTTCCAGAGTTCCACAGAGGAGGGTCCAGATTGATCACTTTAATGGACTTTTTCCATCATTTCTGAGCCTCAGAACTTCATCAGTAGAGCAGATAGACACATGACATTTAGGAGGAAGAACACATCTGGGTTCTGCTAGAACCTGACACCACACCCCCCAAAAAAGGGGAAATTACCACATAAGGACACAAACTTGCCACCAAAAGACGTGGAATTACCACAAAAACATCCAAAATCAGCACAAAAAGAAGCCAAACTACTACAGAAAGACGTAAATCATCACAAAACCACAACGAAAACTCACAAAGTCACTGAAAAAGAAGAAAAATCACCAACGAGGGACATGAAATTACAAAGAGATGACTGGCAGCATCATCAGTCACCAGAGGAAACTCTACAAAGTGCATTCTGGGTAAACGTTCCAGGCTCATATCAGCATGTGTGATGGTGTTTGGTCAGAACCGGTTCTAGATGATGGAAGGACGTCTAGAATATGAGCAGATTCTGAGGCGTCAGGTTGGACAGACTGATGGACTTTTCATGGAATGACCCATTTGATTATTTGTTGTTTGGATGCTCTGCTGTTTGTGTGTTTGTCTGTTGTGCAATAAACAGAGACGTCCAGAGGAACATCTTCTCACCACGTAGAGCTGCTTCCACAGCAGGGCCCATTCCTGCAGCGTCGACGTCACCTCGGTGACGATGGGATCTTCCAGCGGCACCACGGTCTCATGTGGCCTGAACAGGGAGACAGAAGAACACAGGTTTTAGACACAGCGTCTGGTTTTAACTGCTGTTCAGGACAGTGAAGGACCCACAGAGCAGCTCGTCCACCTCACGTGTCCACCAACACGAAGGCAGCAGGACGGTAAACACTCGACCTCGTTGGCCACCAGAGCAACGCGGCCTATTGTGTCGTGTTGCATACAGTTAGGCTTCAACAATAGTGAATTAAAGTGAATTGTGTTTCCAGGCTGGTCCAGTGAACCGTGGAGGCAGAGCCGGCTGTCCACAGGCACAAAGTAATCTTGTTAACCAGCAGAATCCACTTAGACCGCCCGTAACAACAGAAACAGTCCTGCAGGATCAGACGCATGCTGCCCTGCACAGCTCAGGCTCAGAGCAAAGCCAGGAGGCGTCCCAACATCAGTCCACCAACAGGTTTTATTCATTCGTTAACTTTGTTCAAAGTGCAGGAAAGTGAAAAATCAGTCGAGTCCATATTTAGTGTGAGCTCAGTTTAAAGTTAAATCAGCACCGGTTCTCCTCAGTACACCTGCTCAGCATGTACAGGGGATGTTCTGTATGTTTACA